GGGCTGGATTCGAACCTGCCACCTTAGGTGTATGTGGCTGGCGCCTTAGCCGCTTGAGCCACAGGCGCTGAGCCGAGATTTCTTTCTTTCTTTTTGAGACAGTCTTACTTTGTCACCCTTGGTAGAGTGCCATAGCATTCATAGCTTACAGCAACTTTAACCTCTTGGGCTCAAGCAATTCTCTTGCCTCAGTCTCTTGAGTAGCTGGGACTACAGGCGCCTGCCATAACACTGGCTATTTTTAGAGATGGGGGTCTCCCTCTTGCTCAGGCTGGTCTCAAATCTGTGAGCTCAGGCAATCCACCTGCCTCAGACTCCCAGAGTGCTAGGATTATAAGCATGAGCCACCACACTCAGCCTAACTGAGGATATTTCTAAGCAAAGTGTTGAAAATGTGGCCTGGTTTCTCCTTGCTGCTTCTAGTAACATAGAATTGAAAAAGTAATTGTTAAGCAGAAAGGAATCAAAATGTGAAGATGTGGAAAATTCCCAGCTTATGCAATATTTTTAAAACTGAGAAAGTGTGTTCTGGAGAAAACACTCAGGGTGTGGTTGGACAATCACTCCATGAAGAAGTCATGGGTGTGACCCATTGATCTAATCGGTCTTCTCAGCAGAAGCTAGGAATAGAGATGAGATAACACCCATATAAATACTGCTAGCTGGGACTAAAGGGGAGAGATGGGACTCAGTGAAGGAAGGCTGTCAGACTTCTGGGATTCAATGGGATAGGACAAAGAAGCTTTCTGGCTGTGAACATGAATTATCCTTCAAGAAAAGGGAAAAGTGATTCCAAAGGAGGAAACGGTATCCTCCGTACTTCCAGAAGGGGGGGACACTGCCTTGGTTTCAGTGGACCAGCCTGCCCAGAGCAATACTAACTCTCAAGTGGGCCTGCAAAGTGGAGCCCCCACCAGAGTGGGCCCAGAGGACAGAGTATCTGGCCAAAGGGGATTATTTTCAAGCCTTAAAAACCTAATGGGCTCGGCACCTGTGGCTCAAGCAGCTAAGGCGCCAGCCACAT